CTTTGGCTTTCTGAACTCTATTACTGCCCTCAGGAAGAGATCATTTATTGCCCCTGTCCCTGGTCATCTGAGCCTATTTCCAGTATACTTCCTGTTGATGTGTGACTTTAGTCAGGAACTCATTGTGCACACACTGGGGGCTCTTGCCACCTTGCCTTGACTTCAAGCTCTTTGAGGCAGCCTGTTTTTGAGATTGAAGGAGATGATCCTTGCATGTCATCTAGGTCACTCAGACCCTATTCTCTCCATGGTTGTATTCCTTGGGACATTTTCAAGGAGGTCTCTTCTCTCCTTAAGTCCAGGGCTGTGGTCATGATATAGCCCTGATCTCTCCTCACAGGAAACTGAAGTCCTCTAGGACTTATGGTTGTGTTTTTTTAGCATAGAGTCATATAGCATAGAGCTATATAGCTATAGCATATATAGCATAGAGACATATTTCATAAAATTTCAGTGACAAAGGAAATATATAAACATCTTAAGACATATTTTCTATAATGTGACTATAGGAAGAGTGTATAATAATATGCAAGAACAGAAACATGTAATAAGTATTAGGAAATATAATGTAGAGTAATTAATTTTAATCTGATTTTTTTCTACCAATATATAAAATACACAGCTATGAATCAGTACAAATGTACATAGACCTCTTTCAATCATACTTGAATTCTAATCTTTCAAGCTACTCCAACTCTAATACAACAAAATAATATGTCCCAAATACCTCAATAAGAAAGTGCTTTGAAAAATTTGAAGAATGTGAAGATTTTTATACAACTGTGCAATATCCCATTGTTCCTTATGTTGTATGCTTCATCGTGAAAAGAATGTAGCATTAAGATACATGAGAGCTTATTCTTAGGAAAGAAGTTCTTGGAAGGAAACTGGAATATTAATTCAAGCAAAAGAAAGTGAAAACAAAGAGTGAGGAAAAGCACTGTGTTTCAACTACACCAGCTGGAATACAAACTGTAGTATATAAATGGAATTTGTACATGAATTATTTTTTGGACCTTTTGTCCACTCCGTGCATAAAGAGAAGAACATTAATATAAACAATATACACAATATTGTGTATATTGTTTATATTAATATTCTTCTTAATTAACAATAATTGTTAATATATACAATCAACAAATTATTCAAGAAGACTTCATGAGGTCATCTTTTCAGACATGCACTTATTTATAAAAATAATAGATTGAATGTAGATTGACAGAATGGCCGTATAAAGTGGCCATGAAGAACTTCTGCATATTACTTTACCAACAAAATAATCTTAATGTCTTTGTATTGTCACACAAAATTAACTCCATATTTACAAATATTTAATGCTGTGTAAAATGGATCATTGGCAGCACTTTCTTTGAAGCATCTTTAGTCAGACTGACTTATATAGTGTTCATAATCTCTAAGGTAAAAACATGCTGAAATTGAACTGCTCACTGAATCCCACCGGAGAAACCTTAGCAAAAAAAAAAAAAAAAACAAAAAAACCCCACACCAAAAAAACCAAAACAACAAACCAAAAAAGTCAAAACCCAAACAAACAAGTAAAAGTAAACCCACAGAACATCCCTAAAAAAAATGTGAATTTAGGACTGGACAAGTATGAGAGAAAAAAGCTTTAAAAATGTTTTACCTTCCTTTTGGTTCCTGTAGAGATTGATATATAAATCTTGTTAAGATAGAACAATGAAAGACTGACACTGAATTTCTTCCAGTGTTGTTTATCTTACCTCGTAATACAATTCCATTAGGCATTCTTAAAACCTGAATACATTGTTTCACTATCTGAGAGTCCAATGCATTCTCTGAAGACTTGCAATGAAATCCTCAAAAGGACAAGGTGCAGATGTTTGGGATATTTTTTAGTGCTATTGCTAAGAAATTGTTTGGGGTAATTGGAAATTTACCATGGCAATTTATTTAAAGTTCAAATGCTAAAACCATTACCCACACCATCATCAAATTACATTTTGATTAGTGATTTGTATTTCTGAATTATTGGCTGACTAATTCTAAAACTGTAATTCAGCCTCTGTTGCATGTACTTGTCTGAAATCAGTATGAGTTTAAACTGCATAGTGAATTCAGCAAGAAGTCTTGATTTTCAAACATGCTTGGAGACCTATCCAGCAGTGTACCCAGTCAGAGACTAATTTTTTTTTTCCTCTCATTTTTAAATTTGGTAAGCTTTTGAGTCATCTTGCCACTGAAAAACTTTTTTCTCCTCTTTCTGCCTTTCTCAACATCTTTCTCTTCTGTGTCTGCTCACAGATCTTCTCTTTTATAGTCTATTTAGCTTTAATCTGCCAATTATTTTTCTCAAAAAAAAATCTCATTCTGGTGTCTGAAAAAAATTATGTTTATCTGTGAGCAATTTCACCGTGTTAATTAATACATGAATCATCTCCTGAAAAAGTGATGTAGCTATTCAGGTTTATTTTGCTTTGCTGTGGGTTTTTTTTACAAAGAAAACAATTTCCTAAACTGCACAAAAAATTTCTCAGTTTAGGAAATATGAGTAATTTAAGTGCTTCAGAGCTTATCTTCATACAGTGCAGAAGTTGCGTATTGCAGGGTTAATATTCAGCCTATTCTATTCTGTAAAGATAATTACATTTTCTGTGTAATGAGAACAGATTTTTAATAAAGTTGTGTGAACATAGATTAACAAAATTACCTATATAAATTGCTATCTGATGAGAAAATATGAACAATGGAAATTGTAGTGGTTGAAAAAGAACTTTCAGAATTTTACTTTTGATAGTTACTCATTTCAGAAATGACCCTTCATTTAGAACTATTTGGATATTTTTGGTATGCTACACTATCTCTTTTTGAACTCTTGGATTATAAGGCATTATGAAGCCTAACAATCTTACTTTATTCTTATTTTGTCTAGTGCAATTTTATATTTTATGTTTCACTGTTTAAACAATGGTTTTTCTTGACCAAAAATCTTGTATGTAAAACCAGCAAATCATTTTTAAAACAGACTTTAGATGTGACCCTTTCTGAACGAGTGATTAGAACCTGTTCTATACTACTTTGGTTTTTTTCAGACATTATGTATTTTGGAGAAAGTAGAATCTATTTTATCATTGAGAAGGCTTTCCAAGTGGAAGTGAGTTAATCCTTTACTTTGACTGCTACAATACATTGGGGTTTTTTAAATAAAATATAAGAGTCTGAGATTTCAAGGAAATACCTAGCAGAGAAAGGAAAAATTGGGACTCAGCATTTCTACAGTTGTGTTAGTAAAGCCAAAACAGTTCTTTTGTAACTTACTTTTAAATTCTAAGATCGCATAAAAGATATAGAAGAGCACTTTTTTGGCAGCTCCAATGTTTTCTTACTGATGTTTATATAAATCTTCATGATTACCTTAAACAAAGCAAATTTGTCAAACCTGGAAAATCTACATATTTTATATCTTAAAAAAGAAAAGCAAGTTGTCTCAGACATTTATTCTCAGACAAAGTTCAGATAAATCCAATATATGAAATGAGTAATGCTTTTTGTCATTAAATCTCTCAGACTATCAAAGACCTGAAGTTACTAGCTGAAGTTAATAAAACACTAACTTTATATAATGCATTGTCCTGTGCTGAGCATTGGGTGCATAGTTGAATTGTGCAATTTCTGTCTATTACTGAAAAGTGTTATTGTTTAAAAAGTACAACACAAACTGTGCCAAAGATGATGAGTCCATCAACGTTCCCAACAGCTGAACTAAATGCTACACCATCTGCTTGCTGAAATAAGATGGCATGCTAAAATGTTCTGGTGGAATACAAATTGACTGCCAATTCTGATTGTTGCCCCTAGTAGTCAGGGGATTTTTTATTATTTCAATGCAGCTTGGTCCCAATCATCTTTGTAAGAGAAAAAGATCTTTTGAAAGCATTCCCTTTTACTGTACCTGTGAGGGTAGAATAGACAGAGATTGATTGAATCTTTTTATGTACTTGATTTCCTTTTCCTTTCAGACAATCAAATATAAGAATGTAGTATATAAATGCAAGTCAAAGTCAAATTAGCTGGCACAGATAACTGTTTTAACAGTAACAAAAAGAAAGAAATTAAGACTGATAGAAGAAAGTCAATTCCCTTCTGATGTGAATTATGAAAAGCTTTTGGGTTTGATTAGTTTTCTGAGAAAAGAAATAGCTAGCAACAGATAAAATGAGAACATGTTACTGCCAGAACTGCCTTTTCTGCATATATGCATTATACATTACACACTATATTGAAAAATTATGTTAAAAGAATGTCAAAGTTCGAAAGTTAGGGATTTCAGAATTAAGGATGACAGCATTCTCGATCTTCCTGCCTGTGCAAATACAATTTGATACAGTCTTTGCATACAAAATTAGATAACATTTTAGCCCACAACTCCTGTCTCTTTCAGTGAATATTAATTTTGATATAGTCATTGCAGAGAGCTTCCTTTTCTATTGGTATACACACTTTGTCTGTTGCCATTTGACGAAGCAGCTCATGCTTTTCATCTTCCAAATACTGTTTACATCTCAAATCTCTAGTAACCTATGAACTGCCTCTTCTGTTCCCAGTTTATGAACTGCCAAGAGAAAGTGATCTTTATAGCCCGTACCATGATATTTTTCAAAACCACCTTTGCAGCAGTGTAAAAAAAAAAAAACCACCTGAAATAATGATAAAGAACTTGATTTCTCCAAAGGTACTGCTCCATTTTTTCTACAGATATTTTGTCCTCAAAACAGATTTAATTTTATCTGAAGATATCATGTGTATGTTTTTCTTTTTTTTTCCAGCAGAAAAGACCTCTCAGATCACGGAGCTCAACCTGTAGCCTAATACTGCCAACACCATCACTAAACCATGTCCCTAAGTTCCATATCTACACATTTTTTGAACTCTCCCAGGGACAGTGATTCAACCATTTCCCTGGGCAGGTTGTTCCAATGTTTGATCACACTTTCAGTGAAGAATTTTTTCCTAGCATCCAATCTAAACCTCCCCTGGAAGGCTAATGGCTGGACTCATTATTGTTAGAAGTCTTTTCCAACATTAATGGTTCTACAGCATTGTTGGTTTTTTCGGGTTTTTTTATCAAACTTTTCATTTTTGCCTACTTTCTATGAAATGTGGATCTATATCACTTGTCTCAACATACATATGAACAATAAAAATGAGTAAGTAATGAAACAAAAAAAACCCCAAGCCACTAAAATCCAAAGTAGATAGGTTTTGCAAAGTTCATTCCAGAAGAGTTTTTGAATGTGAACTTCAGTTCTTCCAATTGGCTACTATTGTATGCCAGGAAAAATCAACCAACCAAAGTGGAGCCTCTGCCTTCAGCAAACACTGTCAGGGAAAAGAGGAAATTGGATTGGGTGTCCCATACTTTTGAAGCAACTGCCACCTCCCAACTGCCCCACAGCTCTGGATGTGGCCATGTTGGGTCTTAAATGGAGAATAACATTTTTTGGACACAGTTCGAAATGGCATACAATAATGTTTTCAGTTACTCATGACACCATACTGTGAATCTACTTTCATAGAAGTAGATATTAATGCTACTGTTCTTCATTGCTTTATAATGTCACTAGTATCTGAAAATATAGTAGAAAATAATTATTTCAAAATTATGCTGTCCACTGTTTTGAAATTATATAGATAACTTGAGAAAATTTTCTATAAACTACTCTTTTGAAGTATTACAATGATCTGGGGTTGTATGCAAGCCCTGATAGTCTGAAATTAAAGTTATTATCAGCCATCTCTCAAGCAGACTTCATCATTACTTTTCAATACAAGGATAAAGTAAAGGTTTCTGCTATAGATATAGCTTTCGTCCAGCTGGTGATCAGGGAAGTGTGAGTGCATAAGCAGTGCACTTGGGTATGTTTTTCCTGGCTGCTGAGGAATTGCACAGCGAGTCTCTGTGAAGATTAAGGTAAAGCATTGACTTGGGTTTGATAGAAGTCCCATTCACTTTACAACAAAATGTTTCACTCACTGTTGCAGAATATCCAGGTAGGAATCTCAGTTCTGGAGATCATAAATGGAAATTCCAGGGGGAAAAAAAAGTTAATAAAAATTAGAGATTAGATTTAAATATTTCCAAGTGATATTTTGAAGTGATTTTTATCTGAAATATGTTTATATTTGTTGTTGGTTCAAACTTCTTAATTAGTAATGTGTGAACACTTTATTTGTCTCCCTGAGGACTATTACCCAAAGAAGAGCTAATGCGGATTTAAGAAAACACAATAATTTTTAAAAATTTATTATTTCCTTTTATGGCATCAGATGAAAATTGGTTGACAAAGTGCAAGCAGGAGAAAAACTTGGTTTTCACACCTCTAAATTGCTCTGGGAAAAGGCATTCTTGAATTTGTGCAGCTTTCCTTTAAACTAAATATCTTCCTCCTTTACTTACACATCATATCACTTGAGGAAGAAAAATTCATAGACTTCAAAGGCATATTTCAAAACAACTAAACCACCTATTTATGTAAGTTTAAAGTCAGGGTGGCAAGTATGGAAAACATTTTAAGCCCATTATCTAAGGATATAAGGGTTATTTTTCTGTATTTTTGCATATGCTTTGTATGTTATCCTATATTGACTAATTTTTTATTCCCCTCCTGGGCCACCAACCAGCTCTCTAGGAAGACTGTTTCAGGGCTTAACTATGCTCTTTGTGAAGAAATACTTCCTAAAGTCCAGTCTAAACCTCCCCTCATACAGCTTGGAGCCACTCCCATGCATCCTGTCACTGGATCCCAGGCTGAAGAGCTCAGCACATTCCTCTCCATTTCCCTTTCCCAGGAAGCTGTAGAGAGCAATGAAGTCATACCTTATCATCGTTGACTGAGAGACAACACAAACTCATATCAGAAGGCAAATAGCAAAAGCCCCATTTATTTGATTCTCTCCCTTTTTATACCCTAGTACACTACAGGTGGACCTAATTGGTCATTTAACCAAAACACCGTCACCTTTGGCTAACTAGGAACCACCCTTTTGGTAAGCATCCTTATGGGAAAACAGCTTGTTAAAAAACACCACCTGTGGATTGTTTCCATTTGGTTATCATTATGTCTTTCCAGCTCCCTAATACCTCAGCCTCATTTCCTCCAAACTACACAAACTGAGAGTCCTCAGTCCTTCTAGGACATGCCAGCCTCTTCACCAGCTTTGTTGCCCTCCTGTGGATGCATTTAAGGACATTCACTGCCTGGTTAAATTATGCAGCGCAGAACTGCACACAGCACTCAAACTGAGGCAGCAGGAATGCTGAATGCAGTGAAATAATCACATCTTCTGAGTGGCTGGTGATGCTGTTTGGTGCACCCAAGGTGGGGGTTTGCCCTCTTGGCTGCCCAGGTTCCCTGCTGGCTCTTGCTGAGCCTGTTGTTGACTAGCACTTCCAGACCCCTTTTTGCAGTGTTGCTCTCCAGCTGCTCCTCCCCCAGTTCTACTTGTATCCAGCATTATTCCATCCAAGATCCAGAATTTGGCACTTAGACCTGCTATATTTTATCCCATTAATCGTAGCTCAATGGTCCCATCCATAGAGCACCTCTCAGTTTGATGCAAACTTTCTAATGGTGTGTTCAACTCCTGCATCCATATTGCTGATAGAAATATTGACCAAAACTGTCTCTAAAATCAAACTTGAACACCACTGCTGGCTGGTTCCAGCCAGATGTAGACCTGTTCACAACACTTTGGCCTCTGCCCTTTATCCAGTTTTTCACTCCTGAATCCCCCATTAAGCAAAATTAGAAAGATTTAAAATATGAGTTTTATTTGATACCAAATAATTGACTGATCAGTTTTTTATGGTAAAAATTAAAAGTCTTTTTTTTTTTGCTTTGTTGAAATCTAAATTGTAAATTATCATTCTGTGTGATGGTAACAAGGATTGCTATATTTTAATTTTTATTTTACTGTCTTAGTGAAGACAGAGATAGCAATACAGCCAGATGTAGAGAGAGAAAGGTAAGTAATTGCATTCCATAAGTTATTTACATAGCTTTAAGAAAAACACCAATCTTTTGAAAACTGGATTTTTCTCTTCATTGCTTTTTGTGTTACTGCAAAAGAACAAAGAGGGGATATTTCCTGTTCCTATTTCCTTTGTTATTTATCTTATCATTATCCTAATATATCCATAAATAAAGTATACCAATTGCCTTCTTAAAATTTAATATCTCTGCTAATTTCTGTAGATTTGTTCTAGATCTAGCAAGAATATTGCAGGAAGTGTGTGCCTTTAACTTAAATATTAAATTATTAGCATGTGCACTGTGTTTTCAATGGAAAGAAAAGCTTTCATACCTGAATTTTCTGTTTGTCCTATCTCTTAAAGTATATTAAGGACATTCTATCTCAGTGCAACCAGTTTAGGGATCTGCGTTGTAACTACTTTAAGTATTTTCTCTGTTTGTGTGACTCTTGGATGTTGTTTTAGTTGGAAATGTGGACAGCGTGATCAAGCACTAATCAAGACATTCTATGGAGTTTGGAAAATTCTCACCAGGAAGCCTTGTGAAGCCAATACAGTTTCACAACAGCTCTGCTCTTTCACGCTGCCTAAAAGAAGGCCAAACTGGCTCTCAAGCCACATCCAGATCACAAGATTTTTAATTGTATCCTTCTGGATGCTATGGGAACTCCTGGGCCATCCAAATCTACTTTCCTTTCTCAGTCTTTATGGCTTATTGTGCATAGAACTAAAGACAGAAAAAATTGTATCAATTTAAGAAACTGACTTCATAAAAAAAAAATTTAGAAAAATATCCTAAACATTTCTATACATTAAGAACAAGATAAAGACCACATTTCCGATTTGGGGACCTATCCTGGACTGAGTTGGGTTGTATTTACTAATCCTTTTGGGTTGTATTTACTAATCCTTAGATTCCACTATTGAAGTCTACAAAGAATGAAAAATACAAAATCATATTTGATTATATCAAATATGAGTATATAGCATTACATTACGAACAAGATAAAGACCACATTTCCAATTTGGGGACCTATCCTGGACTGAGTTAAACTTGCGTTTTGGGTTGTATTTACTAATCCTTAGATTCCACTATTGAAGTCTACAAAGAATGAAAAATACAAAATCATATTTGATTATATCAAATATGAGTATATAGCAAATCTACTTAATTCTTTTATACAAAGGAAAAGACAAATTGTCTCTATGAGGACACAGTACTTTTTTTAAATTATGAAATGTGTCATTTACTGATGAGAAATATTTACTCAAAAGAACAGTGCTTTATTATTAATTATAATTATTATTATTACTATTATTAGTAGTAGTAGTAGTACTATGTCTTTCTCTTTCTTTTCATTTATGTTCAGATCAATGATCTGACTGAGCACAAGTGGATGCAGGTATATTACAGACTTGTACAAGAAAAAAAGGATACTTGTAGGCATGGCAGCTGCTGGTTACGGATTAATGTAAATCAAAGCCGTTAAATTCTAAGACTGATACAAATGCTGCTAGCATGGCCCAGGAATAGAAGTGCAGCTGTATGAAAAACGTCACAATGCTGGAAGTAAAAAAAACAAAAACAAACATGACAATTAACCCAAACAAAATTGATTTCTTAGGTTCATTAAAAGTATGTGACATCTTCCACATGTTTGTAATAAACCTGGAAAAATGTGGACTACGGTAATGAACCTATAGCTAAATGTAGAAGTAAAAAAAATAAACACCAAATGGTAAATAAGTAATTTTAGATTTTTTTAGGAAAGAATGTCCCTTCCAACCCAAGACATTCTGTGATTCTATGGTTTTACAAATTAATCATAAAAAGCTAAAATGAATTGGGCAATGGTCCATGTCAGGACAGTCTTACAGTTGTGATTAACCAATAAAGAGTACAAGGATGAAATACTAATGCAGTAATGGAGACAGCTCCTACTGCAATTAATATGAATATAGCTGGAATTGGACACTGAGGAGGTAACATGATTTCTATCAGAACATGACACCTGAAAACCTGGGAAAGACTATGGAGAGGCAGACAGGCATTAATCCGAAGTCATTTAGTAGTGGCAGAAAAATATTAGGTGCCTGTTTTGAGATTACTGTAGAAAATTATGCACCTATCACTCAAGCTACCTCGGAAAATAAAATATTTTTTATTTGTGTAGAACAGAAAATTGAGAGGGCATGCCACTGAGAGCAGCAAACAGATTTGGTTTTGTTTTCAGCTTGAATTTTATATTTTTCTTAAACATCCAGTATGGCAAATACAGAGGCAAACTTCACAATTTGCATGTAAACCATGAAAAAAAAAATTTGAAATGAAGGGATTAATTCCCTATGTGTGTAGATAGGCTTTCACTCATCCATCTCATAGGAGGAACAATGGTTTCTGCGTATCTTGGCTTCAACATTCCACACTTGAGTAATAATTGTGTTTGTGTGACCAGGTTTTGGTAACATCCCCTTTTGAGTACAGGGGTGCCTTGTGTGAGAAGCTGCCAGAAGCTTCCCCCATGTCTGACAGATTCAAAGGCAGCTGGCTCCAGAATGGACCCACCACTGGCCAACGCCAAGCCAAGCTGTGATGGTGGTACTGCCTTTGGGATAGCAGATTTAGGAGGGGCAAAAAACCTGGGCAGCTGCAGCTGAACAGAGAGGACTGAGAACATGTGAAAATGGCAGTCCTGTAAACAGCGAGGCTGGTGAATAAGGAGGGGCAGGTACTCCAAGTGTGAGAGCAGAGATTCTCCTGCAGCTTTGTGTGGTCTGTGATGGAGCCGAGATCCACCTGCAGCCCATGGAGGGCCCACACTGGAGGATATGTCCCTGTGAGGGAGGATGTGAACTCTTGGGAAGCCCACAGTGGAGAGGGGAAGACTGTGAGGAGTCCTCCCCATGAAGGGGAAGGGGCTGACTGCAGGCCCCATTCCCCATCTCACTGCAGTGCTGGGTGGGGAGGGAAAGGTAGAGAATTTAGGGAGTAAAGATGATTTGAGGAAGGAAGGTGTGGGGGGAAGGTGGTCTAAGAATTTTTTGATATCATATTCTACTGTGATTTGATTGGTAATAAATTCAATGAACTTCCCCAGAAATTGCATATAAAATTACATATTAAACTTCTCATTTCTTCCCTTTAGAAAGCAAATATTACTTCTGTAATAGATCATTACCTTAGTTCACTAATATTTCTAGGGAAATCATGGTGACTACTTGAATCTTCATGCTTCTCCAAAATGTCACTGTATTACTGTATTTTATTCTCCTATTGAAGAAGTGGGGTGATGGTGTACTGTACTGTTTTTAGGTAATGACATTATCCCAGACTATCAGAGGGAGTGTTTTACTCAGACCTCACTATGAAAAACTTCTTGCTGTAAAAGAAAACTCTTTCTGTATCATGTATCAGAAAGTGGGTAATCCATGAATATAGAGTGTCTAAGAATGAATGCAGGTGGACTTCCCTTGGTGAGAAATTTCATAGACTATTTGCATTTCTAGGAAATGAAAGCTCAGTCTTATTACTCATGAAAAATGTGAGAAGAAAAAGATCCCTGACCGAGTAGCCATTATTCTGTGGAGAGAGATCTTGTTAGTTTCATTCAATACATATCAGACATCTTTCTGGTAAAACTTCTCAAGTTTAGCAGGATAGAATATTTATTTTCTATGTAAATTTTTAGTGCCATCATATTTATTCTTTGTGCCTATTAAGTGTGCAGAAAATTATCTATGATGTGGGTCATGTTTTCTCTAATAATTTTTGTGTCTGGATGATAGGTAAGATTGTTTATACAGTTTTGCATTGAATTTACTGTTTTTCACTCTGGGGTAATAGCACACTTCATAGAGGCATTTGCATCAATTGAGCTGTTCAGAGCAAGCTGGGCT